AGCATAAACACCACACACATGCCTGACGAATCAAAATGAATGCCACTGAAATTTTGTTTATTATAATATGGAGTACACCACTTCCAAACATTTGTTCTGAAATCAGACACATCTTGGATGGAAAAGGCTTTTCAGAACTAGGATGACACTTCAGTTCAAAACTAGATATATTCATCAACATCAGTAGAAAAACCCAGGGTAATAATCAACACATAAAGGAATTATAACTGATGTTTGTTAGATTCATTCCACCTATGCCATGTTTGAGAAAGGTGGTTGTGACCATGATTTGTCTCTTTGGCACTATTACGAAATCTTTGTGAAGAAAAGAAGCACTCTGAAACTAAATGGATGGCATCCACCTGCATCTGTGGCCACTTCCTACGTCACTCACCTACAGAAACTATTTGTTTTAGAAAGAAATTCATTCCTTGAGCCATTTGTTAATCAAAATTGATTTTCCTAGAACTGAAAGTGAGGAAGCTGATGTACAATTATCTAGGATAATACATGTGTGTACAAAAGCAGTAAAGAAGTGTAAAGAAATGTAGAATACATATTACCAATGTGTTTCTTTATGCAATTAGCTATTGACCAATTACTATTATGCTTCTGTATTTCAGCATCCCATTGCAATTTTTCAACATAAGGTCTATTATTTATCGTCCGTCAATATTGCAACACATTTTTATTCACTACTTAATTTACTGTTAGTTTAACATTATACACTCTTGACACAGGTTTTGGGCCCAAACGGTCACCTTCAGGTGTTTTGATATGTTACAAATATTTTGTAAAATTCTGTTAAAACTGCTACACTCTTAGTTTGTGTTAAAATCACATGCTGTAGTCCTCATTTAAATGTGGAAACATGCAAACCAGGGGCATATCATAACTCCAACTAGTGCTGAGGCCAAGAAGATGCGAGTCTATACATCCATTCCCCCATGTGACTTCATGACATAATACTTGATTAGTTAAGAATAAAGGAACAACTTTATCTTTTACTCACATGCATTAGCCAGTAACTGAAAAAGAAATCAGAGGATAATGTAACAGTACAGCAGTCATTTATAAACCCGAAGCAAGCCTTTGACTCAAGAAAGAAGTAATGTGCAATACTCTCTTCGAATTTTACATACCTATGAAACTAACTGGGGAGCTGGGATAGCATAGTCAGTATAGCGACTGGATAAGGCCTAGATGACTGTGGGGTTGGAGTTTGAGTTTTGGTAGGGTCAAGAACTTTCTCTTCTCCAAGTCATCCAGACCAGTTCTAGGGTCTTTCCCAGGGAATAAAGTGGTCAGAGCGTGAAGCTGACCACTCACCTCCAACTAGTGTTGAGGTCATGAAAATGTGGATCTATACATCCAGTACTCCTTATATCTTCATGGTGTAGTGCTTAATCATTTAAGCACAGGGACAACCTTTACCTTCTTACAAAACTAACTGGACTAATTAAAGCTTGTACATATTTACCTGGTGTATTTTCTATTCAAATAGTATTAAACCAGGAGAGGTTTTGTTTTTCAACTTAATTTCAGAAAATCCCATTAGGAAGGTCCAAGTAAATCAGTGGGGACTGAAGTGAATGAAACACATCATCTTCTGAATTATGCTGACAATGTTATTTTATTAGGCAGAAACAAATACACAATAAAGAAGGAAACAGAAAATTTATTAGATACATGTAGGGAGGCTGGTATAGAAACAAATGTAGAGAAAATTGAGTCTAGATTCATGTCATATCACCAGAGGTCAGGACAAAATCATAACACAATGGCAGCTAATAAATTCCTAAGTACATAACAAAGTTCATATATTAGGGAACAATAGTATTGAAATGAAATAATATTTATGATGAAATTAAGAGATAATTAAATTGAGGAAATGCTTGCTGTCACACAATTCAAAGTCCTTTCTTGCTGTCTCCAAACTAGAAACCTGAAAATTTAAAATACAGAACTATACTTTACCTGTTGTTTTATACTCATATGTATGGGTATGAAACTTAGTCTCTTACTCTAATGGATGGACACAGATTTAGAGTGTCTGAGAACAAATGGCTAAGGAGAATATCTGGACCGAAGAGAGAGGAAGTAAGAGGAGGGCAAGTAAAATTACTGAATAAAGAGTTAAATAATTTGCACTCTCCACAAGCTATTATTAGAGCCATGACATTAAGGAGGACAAAAGTGGTGGGATATGCAGCATGCACAGAGGAAATAAAAAATACATGTAGACTGAGATGCAGAAAACTTGAAGAGAAGATTATAAAAATACAAAACAGTTCTGTCCAGTGAGATTGGTGAAGATTTGTCTTATTTGAATTCTTCATACTCTTACATGTTTCAGTCCTTAGAGACCATCATCAGAAGGACATTGACACAGTTTGGAAACCACTATTACAATAGGTGTTATGAGTGTTAAAATATATATATATTGTGACGCATTGCGCTATGGAGGATATCCCCTCCCCTACCAGCGGTGACGTGGTGGCATCGGAGCGCTGTCGCTAGTATGGTAACAGGCCAGTCAACATTCCGCCCCCCTCCCCAGCGATGACGTGGCAGAGGAGCAGGTGTCAGGCAACCACTGCCGCGGAGACGTGGCAGGGGATGCCACGGTTACTGCACAGCAGGAAACAACTCTAGACAGCGTTGCCCAGCAACACCTGTTTACAGGTAACATGGTAACAGGAAGCAAGGCGCTTTCCCTTGTCTGCCTGAGGGTTTATAAGAGAATTGCATAGCCGCCGGAGTCAGTTAAAATGTAGCAGCCGCCGAAGACAGTTGAATTGGAACAGTTGCCAAGTTCAGTTGTAGCGAGCGACTCGTGCACGCAGAAAGAAGAATACCAGAATGTGTGATTAGAAGTGATAGTGTGAGAAGGTATTGGGAGTGTGTAATACAGTGACACTGGTATAGCTCCCGTATTGTACTGTGAATAACTGAA